ATATGGCAGTTTCAGTGTACTCTTTTCTTCTTCTTCTTCTTCTTCTTCTTCTTCTTCTTCTTCTTCTTCTTCTTCTTCTTCTTCTTCTTCTTCTCCTCCTCCTCCTTCTCCTTCTCCTCCTCCTTTTCCTTCTCCTCCTCCTTCTCCTCCTCCTCCTTCTCCTCCTCCTTCCTCCTCCTTCTTTCTTTTTTCTTCTTCTCCTCCTCTTCTCCTTCTCCTCCTTCTCCTTCTTCTTCTTCTTCTTCTCCTCCTCCTCCTCCTCCTTCTCCTTCTCCTCCTCCTCCTTCTCCTCCTCCTTCCTCCTCCTTCTTTCTTTTTTCTTCTCCTCCTCCTCCTCCTCCTCCTCCTCCTTTCTTCTTCTCTTCTTCCTCTTCTTCTCCTCCTCCTCCTTCCTCCTCCTTCTTCTTTCTTCTTCTCTTCTTCCTCTTCTTCTTCTCCTTCTCCTCCTCCTCTTTCTCCTCCTCCTTCTCTTCCTTCTCTCCTCTCCTCTTCTCTTTTTGCATTCCCCCTACATCAGGAAGCAAAACTGCATCAAAGCATTTCCCTAAAAGAGTTGTGCCTTCCTCTTCTGCAGGAGAAAGCAGAGTGTCTCTTCCAAGATATTTGTTGCCTGCCCAATTGGAGGTGGCAACGTTTTATTGCATTAAGATGTTGGAATAAATTAATTATGCTGGATAAATAGAACAAATGGGGCCGCCCTGTTTTATTGTTATGCAAACTAGTGATCTTTTACGGCTAAAATAAAAATCTGATCTCAGGGATTTCTTCTCTTTCCTCTGTTTTCATTTAGAAGCCCAGTTCATTCCCAATAAGCAGCTTCAGCCTAAAGAGACCCAGATCTATATAAAATTGGTCAAATATGCCATGCAGGCTTTGGACATTTATCAGGTACGTATCAGGATGGATGCGGTTTATAACTCTAGTTTGGAAGACGATTATAGGCGGTTCTTGACTTATGACTGCAATTGGGATTTGGAACTTTTGGTCACTATGCAGTGCAGTCATTAAGTGAGTCCTGCAACATTGTACAACCCTTTTTGCCATGTTTGTTAAGTTTGTTATATCTATCTATCTATCTATCTATCTATCTATCTATCTATCTATCTAT